TTTATGGTGCTGGGTATCAAGGCAATACACACTTTTTAAAAGCATGTATATTCTCAATAGTTGTTATTCATATATAGAAGTGTAATAATTTTATATTGACCCTATAGCTCACTGCTGATCTTTCTTAAATTTATTAATAAAATCTATAGACTTTATATCATTAACTATTCAATTTCTTCCTTTCAAGTTCTCAGAGACTTAATTTCTTGTTCTTTTTTTACTGTTCTGGCCTTCAACTTTCAATATATTCTGTAATAGACATAGTGAAGGAAGTCATTCTTGCTTTGTTCCTGAATTTAAGTGAAATTTCTCTAACGTTTTCACATTAAGAATGATGTTTGCTATTATTTTTTGGTTAACCCTATCAGTTTAAGGAAGTTCATTTCTACTTCTACTTTAATAATATTTATTTTTTCTTTTCAAAGGGAGGTAGTGAATATTATTAAACACTTTCTCTATAACTATCAAGACAGGCTTTTTTCTTGTTTAATCTGGTAACATGGTAAATTTGACTCACATGTTTTGTTTATAACTTTTACTGTACATTTAAAAATTAATTTAATAATAATTAAAAATAAGTTTCTTATTTTTTAATATATTCTCTTATGTCTACATACCTTAAGGAAGCAAATTGATAGAATTCATTGAAAAATCATGTTAATGGATCAATTCCAAATAAACAAAAACTCTCTTGGCCAACATGGACACTCATATCCACAGTCCAGGGCTTGCTTATTAAAACTTTGGAGAAAAATTTAAGCAGGTAATGTCCTGGATATTCATACCTGGTAGAAAATATATACTTGGGACTTCTATAAGCTCCCAGCAATTCATCTGGCAGTTCCTATATTGCTGCCTTCATCCTTACCAGTAAGTGTTGTATGGAATTGAACACTTAATTCAGAATCTAAGATCCTGGAGGCATCAGAGCCTATAACTATGGTAGTACTCTCTTGCCACTAATTGCCATTAAAATTCTGATTTTTTGGATAGGATAAACAGTGAAGCACTTGTACTTTTTATATACATTCATTTTTTAAAGTATTAATGTGCATGAAAGGTTCAATGTGATCATTGCTTTTATTATTGCTCCTTTAATTTCTAATGTATGTTTTAATTTCTAATTTCCAGGTATGACATTAGGTATTGGTAAAAACATGATGAATTAAAACACTACCAACACTTTCAGGATAAAGGCTAAACACATCAGCATGACTTATGGAGACCTCAAAGTTTTGCCTTTGCCAACATCAACAACTCTGGGAATTATCATTTGCCAGTGAGGTGCATTCTACCCTTTAGCCATGCATGTAGTTCTTAGAAACCATGTAATTGTCTATACTTCCAAGATTTTTTAATGGTTCTAGGCACTGAACCTAGGGCCTTGTACCATGCTACATGAGTGCTCTACCACTGAACTAAGCCCATCCCGATCTCCAAGACTTTGATGTGCTGTTTCCTTTGTCCAAGAATGCCTTCCTTCCACCTAGTGAATGCATTCCTCACTACCTTCTTGGAGCAGCTATTACAGCGTTGGCAAAGAATTTTTTGTATCCCAGTGCCCAAACCCCTGGACTATATGCCATGGAAGAACTCACTTGTTATTTATTTTTTCAAACCTAAGCACTTTTCACAATGATTAGCACAGAAAACGTCTGCTGAAAAACTATATTTCAATGAATGTGAAATCTGAATTATAAATACAGAGCAAAGAAGTATTTCTAAGCTTGTATCTATTTTCTTAAATAAAATTCAACTAGAGCAATCTAGTTCTTTTAAATGCCATTTAACATTTTCACTAAGTTATTATTTTTGGTTTATTAGCACATGTATGTAGTACATAATGTTTACATTCCTTGTGGGAAGTTGGTACACGTACATAACACATCTTAATTTCTTTTCTCATCCCCTTCCCTTCCCTTCTTCCCCTTTTCATCCATCTCTTGATCTGTCTTTATTTTTATTTTCACTAGACTATAATTTTTATAATAGTAACCAAAACAAAAAGCTTTATAAAGGAATAGAAAGGAATGTTACATTTTTAAATGTTAACTAGTTTTCATGCACAAAATACTAATAACAATTATTGCCATATAACTTTAACAATTTAAACTTGAATTAAAATTTTATATTTCATATGTATATATTTAATTTAGCTGTTTTTAAATAAATTACCTCAATGATTGTTGGTTTTCCCACATTTTCAGCAGCTGGAGACCCATATAAGACTCCATCACTATATGGTGTCCTTTGGATATATCGAAGCCATCCTGGTCGGTCTGGGTAACCCATTAAATTTGTGTTGAATGTTATGGGATCATTACTAATTTCACCTAGATAAGAAACACAGAATTAAGAACTAAGACAGTTATTTTCACACATGTTGCTTTGGCAGTTTCAATCAAAACATTCTGTCTAAAAATGTTTTTACATTTAGACTAAACTAAATACACAAACAAGAAATCTATTTGGAAATTTTAGATTAGGGCCTCATGTAATGAAAAATTCTTTGGGTTGTTTGTATAGAAATCAGATCAATAAAAGAAAGCAGATTCGTACAATTTTTTTGGAACTTTTTTAGGAAAAGCACTTCAGAGAAGACCAGTTCTGCCAGTGAGACAATTATCTTTCAGAAAATTCTCCAAATCTCCATCAATCATATTGATGAAACCATATTTTTGAGAAGCATTCCTTTCATGAAATTCCAAATACTATTAAACTAATATGAAATGATATCTAAAAAGTTATAAAGGTATAATCATAACAAAAATAATATAATTTTAAAACATTAGAGAATAGAATAAAAAGATGTTATAAATCTAAAACAATTGTAATAATGACAACATTTACCAGTAATAAGCATTAATAACAGTATGATTGATTAGCACGTGCCTGGACATGTGTTAAGTCCTTCACTAGCACTATATCATCCTATTTTCAAACATATCTATGAAAATGGTGCTCTTATTAGCTCTCATTTAATTGGTGGAAAATAGTAATTTTCCATATTAAATAACTTTTCCATGATCATAGAAGAGATGAAACTAGAATTTAATCCTGGTTGACTCCAGAAACTATGTTTTTAACTAAATGTTTTCTTCTCAAGCTTTAGAGCTATTGCTCAAAAGGTTTAGCCATAGAGTTTTACAAACATGGAATGTCTCATAATAAAATATTTTCAAAATAATTGATGAAAACAGTATCTTTTTGTCTTGCTATCTATTAAGAATGTCTACCTGTATTCAGATATGTTATTCATCACACAAAAAATATTCATATTAATTCTAATGTTAAAAATGTGCTCTCACAAAACAATTTTCAGAAAAGTCACTTTTATTTGTTACTTAAGAGTAATAACTCAATATGTTTGTTCTTGCTATTCTTTCTATATCTTCATCAATATGATGGCACTTGTGATAATTCAAAATAACATTCAAACCAAGAGTGAATTAAACAAGACTTCATAACTGCTAGTAGCTTGAAGGAAAATATTAATCTCTATTATATTATTATGAAGTTTATAAAATTATCTCATATTATAAAAGCTTTCTTAAGAAACCTTACTTAATGCTATATTTCATGCTTTTCAACTATATATATATATATATATTGTTTTCCAAAACTCAATGTACTAAGTAAAAATCTAAGTTGTAATTGAAAAATCATAATTGCAAAGCTGTATTTATGTGAATATAGGTAGATCATTTGATAGGTAAGATCACTTAAGACTGAGAACCTAGAAATATGCCTTTTTAAAAAATTAAAAAATTAATTCCTTCTGTTATTAAATTTCTAAGCTTAAAATGAGAAATATACTATAACCAATAACTTATGAAGTATTCTGACCATTTTAAATAATGTTAATATTTGTTTATATACCACCTAAATTATGCACATTAAACAAGAACAAATAGTAAATTGACCACCTTTTTCTCCACAGAGAACATACCAGGTTTTGGGTAAGGTGGAAATTCCCCCTTAAAATATTCTCTTTCCAAAACATGAACAAAGAGGACACCTGCAGACGGGTACACATTCCAGTCAGAGTGCACCTTCGAGAAAATAGTGTACACTGAAAACAAAAGGGGAAGACAAAGAGACAGGTAAGCGATGAGATGGCTCCTCACAATGCAGCTTAGACCTTAGTATTTCACTATCTAGAAATTCCTGAGAAAACAAAGCAACATGCAAGAGAACTGTTAATATTGTAAGAGGAGGTAATTTTAGGACAAAACATGGGGAAAGTCTTGGTTAGAAATTTTTCAAATACGATGTAAATAAAATGACACACATTTAATATTTTTAATTTCTTTTAAAGAATGAAGACATCTGTAATATCATTTTGGTAATTTCTTTTTATTTCAAATAAGTATTACCAACAAAACATACCCTTGGAACTGGCCAACTGTACAATTACTACAGTTTTTTTTTTTCTTTAAGTACATGCAGTAATTTTTAAATGGTGAGAATGTAGACTGTACTAATTGTTTTGTAGACAAAGCAAGTCAGTATTCCATATAATACCATAAAAATACACAAGGGAACTCTTATGTGTACTTCTGAAAAAGCTTTGGACACTGTTTCCAAGCATTTATTCTTTATATCTCTCATAGAAATAATGTATTCCATTTCCCTTGATCTTGACATTTAATAATTCAAACAGTATGATCGATTATATTAGGCTACCTCCTAAATGAGCATTAACAATTATCCAATACAATTCAGTACAAATAATTTCTTTAAGTGAACCAGGGCCAATTTAATGATTTACAATTACTTACAAATAAGACATGAGTACAGGAAAATGGCCAAATTGGTCTGATTAGTTTGCAACTATTGTTTTTCTTCTGATATTGTCATCTCCACCAACACATTACTGCTATTACCCTTGTCACCTCTGCGGGTGGTTTCTATCTTCTGGATTGGCTAGGAGCTGCAATTTTTAGACAGATAAACCCTATCAGGCCCATTCTTTCTCTCAGTCACTGATGGATGTGTAATGTGGCAATTAACCTCAGGACCCCTAGGCTGATCATGCCAAGCTCACGACTTATTAAAACCCTGAATAGCAAGGCCATGGATGGTAGTAAATTTTTCAGTATTAAAAATAGAAACTCTCACAAAATGTTTCTTTATCTGTGAAAACTTGTCCTTACAGTTCTGTGGATGGCTGCCAAAAAGGGCAAACTGAATTAAAATATTTGGTTTGTAGCTTCACATATCCACAATTTGACTACTAAAAACACAACTTCAAAGGCCTTGTAAGAGAAGAAAGGAAGCTGCAAGTTAGGTTTAACTAGGGGTGTAGGGAGACCCTTTCCTGACTTGCTTTGCATTAATACTCATTAGAAGTTTCCCACAGTTTTTATAGTGCCCAGTGCCTGACTTCTACCCAAGGATTATTTACTCACCTGTGAGAATGATTCTATTTCAAATGACAATGACTGAATCATAGAAAAAATCATAACAATGAGAATTTGACTTTTTTTTTTTAACCAGTTCAGTACCACAACATGTCCTAAATGCTAAATGCAATGGGGCATGTGATGACAAGAGACTTTGTCCCTGCTTTCCAAGGGTTCACCATCCAGTTTAGGGGAGCAACATTTACTTAACTAGACATTATCCTGGAGGTAGAAATTGCTCCGGCAATACCTGTAAGAATGGGAGGAGCAGTCAGTCAACATTGGAAAGATCTTGAAAAGATTTACAGGAGTAGAACTTAATCTGGCTCTTAAAGTACTAGTAGGTTTCTAGATCTCAGAGATGAGTAATTCAGACCTTCATCAGGCTGTGAGGTCCTTTCCAGGAAGTGAAGTAAGCCATGGATGCCAGACCTCGGCGTTTGTTTTAGGGGGAAGCAAAACTAAGAAGAAAAGCAGAATCAAATTATGGAGAGTTTCAAGCTCCTTCTGAGAAGTTATTTCATTCTATCTTAAAGGTGTTTCAATTCCCAATCACAATCCTACATCCAAAGTGTAGGAATATTTCAAATAATCTATAAGGATCTCACTAAATGTCTTTAACTTACTCTTTCTAGATATTTAAAACATCTTGTGGTGCAATATTTTTATTTATCTCATCATTTTCTCACACCTAGAAGAATGTCAAATATATTTGAATAATTTCACCAATGCCTATAGAATGGATGAAAATATTCTAATACAAAGCATTGTAGAAATAAACACCAGTCTCATGCTAGCAGACAAAATAGGTGTAATATTTAAGGTCTATGGAGCACGAGTACTATCTTCCATTTATGTCATTAACTATTAATAGTCCCGCTGAGGTTTTGCTATGAAGAAATAAAGGTTGTTCGTGGTTAATATTGAAATGATTTTGTTTTCTTTACAGCCCTCCACAGGGCCTGAAGGAGAAGCATTAAAGGGTTCCTGTCTTTCCATATCACCTCACTTCAAGGACCACCACAGAAGATCTCAGATTCTGCCTTCAAAAAAAATGTCTGCAATCTACAAAGTCAAGCCACAATTTACCGTGGCCTCCTGGGTTTTAAGATGATATGCACATTTCCTTGTTCGTGTATACTCAATTGCCTTTCTGCAGTCCACTGAACCACATACTTGCCGGTCAGTTACCTTGGCAACTCCACAGTAAAGCCTGCTTCAATTTTAAGTGTAGTACACCATTCACTTTGAGAGAAACATGATACAGATGTATGACATATTCATCATTCAGAAATAGAAAATGACTAATCCACTATGTTTTGTTTGTGAAAATAATACTTCCTTTCTGTAGCATCAGTTTAAATTATGGGTACCCACACAACATTTTAGAGAAGAACCTTTTCCTTTCCCCTTTCCCATTTGTGACTTCAAAACATAGCCCTTCGTAGGGGCTATTTAGGGAGTCTCTCTACACCTATGTTTACTTTCAAAAACATCAAATGACACAGAATTTGAAGCTCTAGGCTCTTGCTCTAAACATAAGCTATATCAATAATGCTGATAGGATCTATACCAATACTCACAGAGCCTATTAATAACAGTTAACACATATCACACTCACATATGCCTAGGTGGTATTCATAAGCAATAAGCTTGAAAAATATTGTTTTTCCTTCAGAACAAATCTTGAAAATCAAATTTAAATGACCTAGAAATCCATACCACTAAGATCCAATAATCTCTGAAATATACATGTGTATGGTGCCATGCTAATCCTGCTGAGGTCACAGGGTCTGGCAACTCTGTGTGTCGCATAGTTCCACAATCTTCTACAGCTGCAAATCCATTACCTCCGCAAACACATGCCAGCAGATGAAATGAAACCAGAAGCTAGTGTGTGTGTCTAAATCCATGCAAATCTGTCACCACTAATGAGAAAAACAAACTAAAAGTCTAACCCATGCAGGATCAAAAAATCATCTTCAAACAACAAGGATAGCTAGATTTGCAAGGATTAAAATCTTCTTTAAACAAATTGTCATGAGTTGTAGAGTTTCTGTAAGGAAAATTACATGTCTGAGTAGAAAAGAGCCAAAAGGTATGTCAGTAACTAGCCAGAGTCAGTATTTCACTCTAAGTTCCGATGCCTCTCATCACTGTGCTACCAAAGTCTTGTCCACATAACTATGTTTTAGTCATAGAGTATAGAAACTCCAGCCCATTTCAACAACTGTATTATTATGTGACAGTGCAGAGCCAAGAATCAAATGACAGATTATGATAGCCATAGCAATAAAGTGGACATCATGCTAGCCAAACTGTATCCTCGCTTCCCTTCCTAAGAGTCTGTTGGAAATTTTCTCTCCCCATGATGAAAACATAAGGACTCCATTTGTGTGCTTACGTACAATTGTTTAAAAACAAAGCAAATATCGATATATTTAGTAAAAATTAAAATTTGAAAGTGTTATGACAGTGCATTGCTAATGAATCTCTGACATCTAACTTTACAATTATCACATAATTACTCTTTTTTTTTTTTTTTTTGGTACCAGGGATCGAACTTGGGTCCTTGAGCTTGCAAGGCAGGTGGCGGCAACACTAAGCTAAATCCCCAGCCCTACATGATTACTCTTCATGGCATATGTACAGCCACAGACAGACAGACACAGACACAGACACAGACACAGACACACACACACACACACACACAGTCCCTTCTATATAAAAGATCCAAGAACACCTACGTCTTTTTCTGTATAACTAAGAACAAGTATGTGATCGTAAAGATAAAATAGCTGCAAAAGTTTCAGCTAGATTTAAATCTTAAATCTCTTTTGAAATCTTTTAGAAGAAAGTCATACATTATTGTCAAAATTCAAGTCCAGGTGGCCTTTATTAGGTAATGATTATGTGTATTTCTCTTTTATATGTGTTTTATCAACAAATTGGTCACTTTAATAGAGATATATTTATATTATCTTTTTCTAATTTTTAAGGTTTACAAGGATATGTCAAAATCTGTTTATCAGGAAGCCCATGGCAATGAATCATTCAGGAGGGCTGAAAAAGTACCCAGTGGTTGATCCTTTTTCATGAGTATAAGATCATCATTTCGCACATCAATTATAACACTCTGCTGTATTATATAGAGATGCCCTCATGGACTATTTGGCTGTCTTGTCATTTACCAATCACACTACAGGGTTCCAGTCAGCAAATGCTTTTTAAAGTTGTGTGTTTTATAGGTTTTCTGTTTTCTCCTCTGCAGACATGCTGTCAGCTGTCACTTCTCATCGCCATCAGTGTGTTTGCTATCGCCGCTTCTCCAGCCCCTCTAATTTGCTGTTATTAATCTGCTACAGGTTTAGAAATAAGACTACCAAGTGAGGTGGGATTGTGCACTGAAGTAAAGAGCAAATATGTGCTGTTTTAATGCACATAGTACTTGGCTCGATGTGAAAAACAGGAGCCTGCATTTGCTGCATTTATTTTGGCTGCCCAGAGACTCTTGAACGGTGTTTTTCCAGGCTCTTAGTCAACACAGTACACTTCTGAATAGGTGATCTCTCTATAATTATGACAAGGCATTACTTGAGGCAAGAGCAGCACAACGTCTGCATGTTAGATACTTTCAAAAATAAACCAGTGTATAATTGAAAGTCTTCATTCAATCCATATGCTGTATTATGAAAATGTGAGTGTGAAATCATAATGGACATAATGTGTTGTATGAAATAATTTCTTACATATTTCATATGTGAGAAATACACTACATAACTTAAGGAGGTCTATGGGTTAAGCAATTTACTACCTTCAGCAATAGCTAAAGCATCCTAGGAATAATATAACACACCACAATAAGTAACTCACAAATAAGAAATTAAAGACTGCTTTAAAAAATATTGCAATTTTGTCAATTTAGCTCTCGTGCAGTCTTACGATTTAAATTATTTATTGGGAATCATCACAAAGGTGCTTTGAGTACAAGTCACTCGGGTGAAATATGTATTTGCCAACTGCTCGCAGCATTGCCTTAATGGTTAAGTATTATCAGGAAAACATTTTGCACAAGAAATCTGAACACTTTCAAATACATTTGGGATACTAAGTACTGAATAGCCACCTATCTCGTATAGCTTTTAAAATACATTTTTACCTAAGCAACTTGGCATGATTGTCCTAATAATTAAAATTGTGAGTGCTGATATGAAAAATAAGGCCTTTTGACTTTTATTTTCCATGTCTAACAGACAAAAGCTCCGTGGGGAGTCCAAGCTCCTGCATGCCTAGCACCCTAAGAGGTCCCTGCCCGTTCCTTGGAACTGATCGCCAGAGACGAACGCTCTCGGCTCTCGCTGCATCAAGATCGCTCATTTCAGCTTTGCAGAGCCTACACGTTTACGGACTCCTTCCTGAGTTAGTTTTTAATATGTTATTACTACAGTCAAATTGAAGTTTAACTATTAAAGTAGAAAACCGCTGAAGACAAACATTTTTAGAGATTTCAATATCCAGCCAGATACACAATCAGTTGTTGTTTTCTTCACTAAGCTCTATCTTGTGCTGTGTTAATCCAACTTCATAAATCCTGGATTTGACTCAAAAGCTTTGCTCAGTAGCCTGCCCTTCACCTCTGGGTTTACTCAGCATCAGAGGACTGTAGGCGGTTCCCTTGGAGGTGGGCAGCTGTTGGTTGGGTGGCAGTCGGATATTCTACACCTAGGTTACAGAATTCATCACGAGGACAGATGAGCTTGCCTTGGTAAATTTCGTTTCTCTTCAACCGAGGTAGAAAAGAAAAGCTAGTGCTTGGATCTTTTTCTACGGAAAAGCAAAAGGGTTTCTTCATGAGATGTTTTTCCCGACTAACATTATTTATTTTAGTTTTCCAAAGTGGGATTAAATATCCAATCATTATATTAACACGTGCGTGTATACACCCACGGCTAGGCCATTTTAGAATGTGAATTTTGAAGAAGAATTTGAAAATATTTTTCTAAGGGAAGTATATAAATATGAAAACTTATTTCTATTTAAATTATTCCAACAGTAAATTTTAAAAAATTTAACTTTCCTATCCCCACCTCAGAGGAAAAAAGAGAATTCACATTTAGGGTTCTCTTTATGACTTTTGGAACCATTTAATATATGTTGAGCTAGACTGATGTCAAATGTGTTGATGTGAGCCAATCAAATTGCTCAGAATCCTATTTACAAAGGAGATGCTATCCCATTGTTTTAGCAAAAAATTAGAATATCATTTAAAATACAAGTTACATAAAAATGAACTGCTCAATATATTTTACTTTATACATGCTCTTTTAATCAATTGTGCTCCCTTAAATATGTCTAAAAGACTGAATGGGATTCTTGGTCAAAAAGAGCACAAAGAACATTTGGCATCTGAGATGTCATTTTAGGTGGCCTTGCTATACAAGCTACCAGTAGTTGTTATTACAATTTTAAAAGGTGAAACAATTTTCTTCATACTATTTTAATAATACAGAACTGTAACATAAGCATTAAGTAGGATAAGGAAACCAAAAAGAAAGAAGAATTTAAAAGATGAAATCAGGAGAAACTGAGGAAATAAGAGAATATAACAACCTGAACTAGTTACCTCAGTAGCTTCAAGACTAACTGTTCATTTCAATTTTGAGAACTACAGTTATCTGTCAAGTCCGAAGGAGAAAATCAGTTTGAAACCTAATGGGAACCCATAGTTTAAAATAAGAAGAGAGTAGTACCTTTTGGAGATGCTAGAGGATGCAGTACCTTTCACCAAGAACAGCACCAAAATACTGTGGATGACTCAGCTGGACCTAATAGCTGGCTAGACAGGACCCTTGTCAAATCAAACAGGAACAGATGGGAAACTGGGAGTAGGGGCAGAAATTCTAGGGATCAGAGTTAAAGGGAGGACACAGAAGGAAATGGAAAGGATGACAGTAATTTAGTGCAAAATGGTGGCAAGTCCAGAGAAAGTGTCTTTGGAGATCTTCTGGGGAGCTCCAAGAGCCAGGGCGGGTTCCAAGTCCTTTGGAAATGACCGAGGAAGAACACAGTATAGATCACAGCAGTGAAGAACACCTGGCACTCATAACTAGAAAAAAGAACCTTAGTTTAAAAAAAAGAACATTAGAAAACAGAAAGAGATGTGCCAAAGAAGCTGTAGGCCCTGGACTGGAAAGGTACCAGAGAGATAAGGGAAATCAGGAGTGATTTTTTTGAAGGAATGAGGAAAAATCCACTGGAAATGTCTACTGAGGGTATGAGGTAAAGAATTATAAGCCTTAGGCTCTGGAATAAGCCCATCTAGTACTTTCTGAAACAAATGTTTGTGATCTTTTCATGGGAAGTTATCATTATATAGCTCTATGCCTTCCTCTAGATATTGGCAATAAAAACTTCTTTAAAATCACATAGAAGTGTGTGAGTTTGGTTCAAAGACAGCAGGGAAGAAGAACTACAGGGAACTTTGTCTCAAAATGAAAGATATCTTGAGGTAGAAGGTTCCAGCTGAACGATATAATTTGCTACCAGCTATTAAAAAAGTTAGTGACCCCTAACTTCGGAAATATGAAGAAAATGAGGTAAGTCAAAAATCACTTCTACACATATTCAGCAGGTTTTATCTTACAGTGAGGCTACTTTAGCATATAAAATTACTGTTCTTTTAAAAGTATTTTAACATTATCATTGTCTTTATAGATACTTTGGTTGTTCCAAAGTTATAAAAGCCAAGCTAAGGGCCAGGGATTTAGCTCAGTGCCACAGCGCCTGCCTCACAAGCACAAGACCCTAAGTTTGATCCCCTGTATGGAAAAAAAAAAAAAGCCAAGCTACTATGTGGCTAATGTTCATGAATATAAATACTCAATATTGGGAGCCAGGACTATAAATTTAGCCATATAATTAAGAAGGAATATTGAGTCAAAGTTCATAATGATTATATTTTGAAAACAACTTGTATTTTTATTATTAAGGGTTTTTTTCTCCTTAATAAAATGCATTATTTCAAAGATCACAGGATAATACTGATGAACAGAGTTACAAGTTGTAAGAAAAATTTAGAAGTATCAACCTCTCATTCAAGGGTCAAGTCATATTTCCACTAGAAAACAAGTGTCAACTAACTATTGAATAACAAAGCATCAATTTGATTTCACAACAAAAATCATCCAAAATTAGACATGATATTTTATGGTCATTTTTCTAAGTTAAGATAAGCACTTTTTAAAATGATATATATTAATTTTACTTAATATTTTCCAATGTTATAAGTAAATCATTATAATAACCACACAAGGACAATTTTTAGAAGTAGTAATCTAGTCACTGGATAAGGGGCAACATAGGTTAAAACAGGAATAATTTTGTGTTGAAAAAAGGGCAAAAGCTATAGCAAAGGAAAATAACAGATTAAGAACATACAGGATCAGAAGTTTTAGAAGATTAGATAAACAAAACTTCATTTTTTCAGGTTGACTTTAAAAAGAAAAAATCACACACAACTAAAAAAGCAAAAGGAATATTGGAAGGGAACATTTACTTGAATCCCAAAGGAGATTTACAGTTGCAACCTAAACTCACCGTCTTTCCTCCCAGCAGTCATTTTTCTGCTGATTACAAAATTGTGGGCCTGTTTGGTCTTTCGGTTAACTGTTCCATTTATGCCATCGGCACAGCTTAATAAGAAAGCTTTTCAGAATAAAACAAATGCACAAAAAATGAAATTAATGTCAAATTAAAATGACCATCACAGATCACCTATTATCAACCAGGATCAGATTACTTCCAGCCAAGCTAGCTGTTAACTCCAGCCAGCAAACATTTGTTGCATGCCAATACAATGAATATATGAGGATAATAGGAAAATGAGACACAGTCATCCCCCAAGGAGCTTACAACCTATGAGCACTAGTAATTTATGAGCAAGTATTATATAATAAAATAACACACATAAGCCTAAGTGCTGCAAGAACACTGAAGGGAGAGAAATAGTTTCTGGCTAGGAATGTTGCATTAAATAAATGCAATATATAAATAAATAAATAAACAGTTGAGTTGAAAACATTACATTAGCAGCAAGGAGTAGGATTAGAGTTAGGGATACTAAACCAGGGGCTATCATAAAAGTGTAGGATCATAGTCAAGTTGAATCAAAAGAAAATAAAATGTAGTACCAGTTACAAGACACCATGGAGGTAATACTGACAATACTTTTTCAACTGATTGGATGAAGGGCTAAAGGAGAATCAAAGATGGCTTTGAATTTATCTAAGAAGGTATAGGACAATGATAATTAGGAAGTCCAGAAGAGAGGTCAAGTTCAGGAGAAAGATAGTGAATTTACTGTAGGATATGTTAAATTTAGGGAGCCAGCAGGACATCAGGGTAAATCCAGTTAAGAAGAAGATAGAAATAGACCTTTGTTCATAAGAAAATATGATGGAGCATTTGATGCAGATTTGAATTTCTTCTCTGGAAAATGAGCATGGAAGCCAAAGTCCCAGTACAGTTTCTTAAAGATAATATGTCCCTAGGTAACACATACTAGGGCCTCATGTACAAAGTGATCTGGAGCATACATATACACAATCATGTTGTTGACCAATTCATCTATCCTGTTCCTCTTCATCCAAACTGCCAATCATTCTGCTAACTCTCCAGTTTTCCATCCTTACCTTTCAGATTTGATATATTTGGCTACCATTTTTTTGACATTAGCTCTCTATCTCCTTCTCCCTTCCTTTGATCATTTTAGGTAAGTTCCATCTGGGTTCAGTACAGCCTCCAAACCCACTAGGGTCTACCTCAAAGAACTGTCCCAGCTCCTAATGAGTAAGAAAGCATGCACAAAAGCAGGACAGACAGTAACACCGAAGAACATGTTAATCAACCCACTTGTATATCAAAAGCGGAGAATGATTCAGCAAAGAAAGAAGGAAGACATGGTCAGAGAGGTTGGACAATATGCGTCTAAAGTGTCATGTCAAAGTAAGGGGGATGTCAGGGATGTCAAGAAGGACAGCATAATAAACTTACTTCAAAAAAAAAGGACAATGAGGATAAAGGCTTAGAAAACTGCAAAAAAAGGACAATGAGGATGAAGGCTTAGAAAAGACTGCTTGGAAAAGTGAGAAGTTACTGGTGACTCCTTGAAAGTGGGGTTCCAATAAAGTGGTGAAAGTAGAAGCCAAATTTCAAAGGTCAAGATGTGGATGTCGGGAACACAGTTAATCTTTTTAAGAGTGCTGGGCAGAAAAGGAAAGCAAAGAGATCAAATGATACACTGAGGAGGAGAGAAGGGGTAGTTATTTCACTAGGGGGAAATTTAGATTTTTGTATATATGCCAAGGAAAAGATGTGAAAAGAAGGAAAGAGACTAAAGTTAAAGAAAAGGGCCATTATTGATGGGCCAAAAAAAGAGAGGAATGGATAGAACTAAGTATGTACAGTACGAATAAAGAAAATGCGTCATGAATTAGAAAGGACAAGACAGAAACATTTACTGTGATACAGCAAAGTTAATGTCAAAGAAGTCCCCTCCTTCACAAATCAGAGATGATGTATTCCCTTTTCAAACTAAATTTCTAGCAAAAATTTAAACTTAAACTTCTAAGAAATAACAAGTTCCCCTCTAAAATGAAAAAGAAATACATTTCAAAACCCAGGTTATTAAAAACACATAAGCAAACAAATAAAACTTCAGGTGATTATTTCAGTGATAATGGGGAGGGCAAATTAACACCCCAGCACCCCAAGAAATAAGGTCCTTAGTTGGTATTCAATTTTCTAAACTACATAAACTAAGTATACCATTTCTACTACTGAATGACCAATCTTACGAATGACTTGACTAATAAATGGTTGATTTACTTAATAACTGAAATCATGTACTTCTAAATCTAGATGAAAAATACACTAAGTATTTCCTAATAATTTAAGCTAAAACATGGGAAATGTTAATAATGTTTTATGGCACAATACTTTTTTCCCAGGAGTCTCCTCATCACTAGGATCTAAAGGCAACATGCTAGATATTTATGAATCACCTGGGCAATTCCTGAAAAATACATATTCACCTGTACCCCAAAAATACATAATAAATGTACATGCATTCATGACTCCACCATAGAGAGCTCAGGTATGTGGGTTACGCAGTATCATTAACTGATTCTCCTACACAACTATGAGCTCTAGAAGACTGAGAAAAGACCTGCAGAGCCCAAAAGAATATGAGATATTTGTCTGATTGATTTATATATACTAAAGAGGGCTGACTTTTGAACTCAAAACCCCCTACCCTCCATCCTTCCAACCGGTTTGCACATAGAGTTGACTTGCAAAAACATGCAAATCACTGCTGGACAGTGGAAAGTCCAACCTAGAAAGATAATAAACAGGTGGCCAAGTTCTTGTCCATGATTTTCCAAGGAACAATGTATATGTGGATCTGACGATTAACATTTGGACTAATTGCTTTGCACCACTAGATCCTGACCAAGGTACATTCATACATGTTGTCTAATTTAATCCTGATGAAACCAGAGAATCTATTAGCATGTTTGGAGGTTATAAGGGCTTAATTGTAAGGCAAAACGGAGTAAATACTGAAAACAAGCAGACACTCTCTTGAATGGCCCACTTCTGTGTGGATTGAGTAGTTATCACAAAGAAAGAATGCACCAAGGACAAAACAGATCCTCTTTTGTTCTTTCCCTTGTTCTAGCATAGCAGTTATCAGACCATGTTTTGCATAAGAATTATTGTTCAGAGCCATATATACAAAACTATACACATTGTATGTTTTGGATAACTTAGAGGAATTACTAGAGTAACTTTAAATGTACAGAATTTTTTTCTTACACTCTTGCTTTTAGAACTTGACTAACACTCCTAAGATTTAAGGTCATTGCATGTCCTTGGCTGGTGAACTAATATGTAATTGCTCATATTTTCCAGGTCCCATATAAGGACAGTCAGGTTGGCTTTTATAGGATTCAAAAAGCTAATCTAATGGTGTCTCAATTGTTTAAAAAAGGGCTGAGTAAAATAATTTAAACACATCTCCATAGATTTAGCTCTATTTTAAGGACAGTGTGGCTTTGAGCATATCCATTTTTTATAAGTTCACATTGGTTCATATAAAGTCTGATTTTAACTACAGAAAACTGAAGCCGTATACATCTAAATTAAAAAATAACTTTTTATGGCCCTACTCTACAGGCAATGTCATTGAAGGCAAGACACAATGCCACAGATAATGCAGCTGCTTAAACATTGAAGTCCTACTCCTTGTGAGAGAAATCTCAGCAAGATGAAAATAACTATTTATTTTTAACTGGGTATCCAAGAAAATGGGTGTACTCAAGTAACTTCCTGAACAGAAAATGACTGTAACCTGTACACTCACAAGTAGAGAGAGTCACTGAAAAAGGTATTTTGTTGATTTATTTTCATTAGAAAAGGACCAACACATTTTTTTCCTGTGAGAATCAATTTTCTTAAGATGGGAAAATGTGACTCAATTTTAAAAATATTGTTCATATGCACAATATTTCACAATTAAGTCTGATGTGTAAAGAAACGTCAGTGTAGAAACTGGTTCTTGGACTAGCAAAGTTATTGGACAAGTCTCAGAAATCTTAAAAGAAAGAGAGAGAACTCCACTGTGTTCACCAGGTTTGTGATAATCTCTGCCATAGTCATTCCTGGTTTGAGTTCTGCCTTAATTTACAAATATAAAAGTAAAGAATATCATTTCATCCTCTATTTGCCTAGCCCAAAGTAAGACAACATTCATACAACCGGCTAGGATGTCACTGCACAAAATATAAGCAACTGATCAATGCTTCCCCTCCAAAATAATCAAAGTCTGAATTAATTTAAAGGTGTCTGACATGCCCTCAAATTCTCTAGAAACCATATAGCTTTAAAAGTTTTAGTCTTAAGATTCTGTGATTCATTTTGAGTCTCATAGCAGCACGATTCCATTTCATCTGGCTTGGAGCAGGCACTCTCTGAGAGGATGTTACTTCTTCCCAAGACTGAGTAATTTGTAGACTGCAGGAAGATGGGGTTGCTATTTAATAAAAGCAGTTGAAGAGCTTTGAATAGTGACTGATTGCTGATGAGCTCATCAGAATGTCAAGGGATAGAAAATAATAAGTAATAACTTCCCCGGACTTCACTGTCCAAGTAAACAGCAGGACATGCCAAATAAAATTTAATCTGATTAACACACTTACCTTAGAACCACACTGTCAAGTCTGTCTTTGTCCACTGATTCATTTGTCTCTTTTCATATTCCAGTCTCAGGGAAATCGAAGACTTTCTCTACAGAAGTTGGGTATGTAGCTTACATTCCCCACATCTTACCACCTTCCCCCCCGCCCCCCATCACAAAGTAGCTGAGTTGCTAGTTTTTTTCTTCCTTTCCTTTAGGCGATTCTTAACACTTTTTAAATTGCTTCTTATATTAAAAGTATTTTCATATGCTTCTCTACAAAAAAAGTTAACCATTAATTCTCACCATTAGCTACCATGTTTTGAGTGCTAAGTATAAATAACTACAGCAAAGGTTTTACACATACTAATTTCATCCTTAACCTAAACTATGTGAAATATTAGTATTAGTTCCATTTTACAATGAAGAAAGGTCTTAGGAAATTATGTAACTTATCATTAGTCATATG